CCCCCCCCAGAAAGCAGACTGTGGGTCCATGATGCTTGTGGCCCCCCTTGGAAAGCAGATTGAGGGCCAAGCAGCAAGAAGCTGGGTCCCAGTGGCAGGTCCAGGGAGCTGGGGGAGGTCAGCTCTGCCTTTTGGCAAAGAGCATCCTCAGGAGAGGTGATTTCAGCTCCTGGCTTTAACAGGGGCCTCCTGCCTGACTTGGCCAACTCAATCTTTTCCCCTTTAATCCAATATTTCTTTTGCTCTGCCCTCTCAATGTGTACCACAAGTTTTGTGGAGGAAGGGTAGGGCTAGGCACGTGCTTTCTGGGCTCTGCTGAACCATGGTTGGGACTCCCCAGGATCTGCTGGGCACAGACCCACTGTCTGCCTTGCTGGGAAGCTGCAAATGCCCTTTTTTCAGCCCCCAAATCAGGATCCTGGCTCTGCTCAGTCGTTTGAAAACAGATTAGTTATTACAGACATGCCTCAGCTATTAGCACATCATTAATCAACGTATCACAAATAAAGAAGCTCTCTTGCTGTTTCAGGGTGCCCTCCAAGTAACTGTTCTAATTGTTGATGACTACTTTGCCTGCATTCTCGTGATGTGCTTTCTTGCTGTGTGTTTTTGAATGCAGTTTTCTCCCTGCTCACCTCATGAAAAACCTTGGTTTTTTTTTTTTCAGTAAAAAAAGAAATGTGGTTTTGTTAGAAAGGAATTTATCTACATCAGGGAAGGGTATTCTTTCAGGTCTGGCATAAATTTTCTAGTTAGGCAAAAGGGAGCAAAGCCCAGCACGTGCAGGGCTAACCTGGAGAGCAGCATGAATTTTGCTTTATGCATCCAATGACACTGAGAAGCACTTTAGAGAAGGTTTTCCAAACCCCACAAAGGGCTGGGATTGACCCAGATATTGTCTCTAGGGTGCCATTCCCTGCCCACGTTCTCATCTGGGAGAAAGACACGACCTTTCCAGGAATATTTCCGAGACAGCTACTACTGTCACAGTAGAGAAAGATCTGTCCTACAAGCAAAGCCCCATTTGGTTCTGATCAGCCTAAATTCCACCAGGGCAATCGAGGCACCGTGACCACGATGGTGAGCCAAGAGGTACACCCAGAGAGCAGCTCTCAGCATTCCTTCAACAGGAGAAGTGGCCACCACGCAGGGACCTGGGCAGTTAAAGGAGAAGAGGAGGCTCTGAGGGGACCTTCTTGCTCTTTCCAACTCCCTGACAGGAGGACAAGGGACAGGAGGAGAGGAAATGGCCTCCAGCTGTGCCAGGGGAGGGTCAGGTTGCACATCAGGAAGGATTACTTCATGGAAATTGTTCTCAGGCCTTGGCAGGGGCTGCCCAGGGAGGTTTGGAGTGCCCAGCCCTGGAGGTGTCCAAGGCAGGCCTGGCCGTGGCACTCAGTGCTCTGGGCTGGGGGACGAGGTGGGGATGGGGATGGGGATGGGAGGGCTTTTCCAATCTCAGTCATTGTGGGATTCTTTAAACTAACAGAGGGCAGGTTTAGATTAGATATTATGAAGCAATTCTTCCCTGGGAGGGTGGGCAGGCCCTGGCACAGGTTGCCCAGAGAAGCTGTGGCTGCCCCTGGATCCCTGGGAGTGTCCAAGGCCAGGTTGGACGGAGCTTGGAGCACCCTGGGCTGGTGGAAGGTGTCCCTGCCCACGGCAGGGGGCGGGATGAGATGAGATTTCAGGTCCCACTGACCCAAACCGTTCTGTGGTGACAGTGTGACCTTACTCAAGCAAATCCTGCATCTTTCTTTCTGGAAGGAGGCGTTGGGCTCACCAGCATTCAAGCAGTCCCTCTCCTAGTGTTTCAGCTTTCTCCTCCACTTCAGTGCTCAATCTCTCGTGATTAATTTCAGCTGTGACCTAGAAAAGAAGCAGACCTATATTCACTTTTTATGAATTCCTTCCCCTGCTCCCGAGCCAGCAGGCAAAGCTTTATGAGCTGGTATTTTCCCCTCCCACCTCCCTCGTGCTCCGAGTTTGCAATAAGTGTTTGCCTCAGGATTTCACACACTCAGCCCCCAGGAGGTGCCTGGCCTCTTACACCACGCACATGACGCTGTCCAGGTCTGCACACTGTGATTCCCTAGGAAAGGGGAGCCAAGAGTTCCATCCCAGCCGCTGATAGGAAATGGGTTCCCATCAGTTTTCCAGTGCACATCCCCAGGGAGTGATTCAGGGCTTAACAACTGACTCCAAAAACCATCAGACAGGAAGCAGAGGAGTTTCTCTTTAACAAAGAGAATACTCCTGAGACAAGCTGGGAGGAGGAGGAGGAGGAGGGAAGGGCCTTTCCAAGACTCTACCGTGGAAAAGGAAGAATCCGTGGTGTTAACAGGGCTGCCTTTTTTTCTCCCTCCCTTATAATTTCTGCAGGTTCTTTTAACAGAGATGAACATAAGTGCCAGACACAGAGCTGAAGGCTCTCTGGAAGCTTTGCTGCCTTCATTCT